TGTATATGTATATGTATATGTATATGTATATGTATATGTATATGTATATGTATATGTATGTATATTTTTACTCTGCCCTTCCAAGTCTTCCCAGAATTAGAGAATGCTTCCCTTCATCTCAATCCTCACAAAAAGATGTTTTGACATTGCTATGATTCTCTAATACTGCACAGAATGTTGTTTAGTAACTAAACCAAAAATCTTGGAATGAGATATAGTGTGTTTCATTAGGACATTAGGACAATTTTCACTTAGAGCTTAATTTCCATTTCAAAGCTTGCATCTTTAAGTTCAGGTTTGTTCTGGCTTTATTAAGTTAGTATAGCGATAGGCTATGAGGCTTCAATCATTGACCTGAACTTCATAGCAGTTTTCTTCAGCCAGAGAATTTTGCTAAGAGTCTACAGCAAAGAGATTGCTGCTAAGAAATAGAAGAAAAGTGCCTCTTTTTTTAATCCATCTCACCAACATGAAGACATTTTAAAAAAAATAGAGAATGACAAATTGTTATTCTGTTTAATGGATTTGTAAACATGACATTGTGATTTTGTGATTCAGGATCTCCACCTATTCCTTTGATTGTCTTATCCCTTCAAACTATAAAAATCTGGGCTTGAAATGTGTTTTGTGTATATATAATGCCGTTAGTGAATTAGCTTTGAAAGAGGAAGTTCTGGAGACAAATCTCTCCTCAGTTTACTGGGCTACTGAATCAAAGTTGCTAATAGACTAGCTAAGAGTTATTTCCCTGTAGGACATCTTTCACAGTTATCATCATGATAAAATAGAAAAACCTAATGTTATCAGCAATTCAGAAGAAAAACAGACTGAAAAATCTGATAAATAGGAAAATGTATAGCATAGGCTGGATTGCAACTCTTAAACATAAAACATTAAAAGAAAAATGTACAAATGAGTTCTCTTAATTAAGGACCGCACATTTCAAATCCTTGGAGAAAAATGAGTATTTTCTATTTTTAGACACCTCAACACAGAACATGCACTTGATGACCGGAGTACGGCTCAGTGTCGAGTTCAAATGCAAGTGGTACAGCAGCTGGAAATACAGGTCAGTATAAATGTGTGCAATAAGATATATTTAATTTTATAAAACTTCCTAGAAGCTGTAGCCTTGAGTATCTTCTTACCTTATCTGTTTCCCAGATGGTTTTTACTCCTTTATTTGACCACTGTAATTTTTGAATAGCATTCTGCCATCTTGATTACAATACATGGAAGATACAAATTGGATTCAGCGGGCACAGTTGCCTCAGTCACCATAGAACCTGTGACATCGTTAGAAGAATGGCAGTTGCTATACCTTTTTTGAATATCACCTGCTTCACACCTCATTTTTCCACTCCGCAATGCATATACCTCATGATGTGTTAGAGAATTGCTCGCATGGAGAGAAAAAGTCCTTTAGTGAAAAGCAGCTTGAGGTTTCATGATTTGTTCTGCTGTAGCATGTTTGACCTGTTTGTCAAATCAAGGCAAGCTACTGTGGCTTTCAGAAGTTAATATAAAAGGAAGCAAAAACATAGTGGGCAATTTGCTTGATATGCTGTATTTCTAACATAGAAAAATCGCAATTTATAGAGCAGAGGAAACTGTTTTAATAGCCTGATTATTTGCACACCTCATATGTAGAAAGATTCTGAGATGTGTGAACCAATCACAAATAAATCCAGCATTGCTAGCTGAAATGTGCTTCTATGGCACTGAACTGATTTCTCACAATGTTCTCTCACCTGAGTTTTATTTTATGGTTCCAGAACTGAACATATTTTATGATATGTCATATGAGTATGTAGATTCTTAATATGGGAATGGATTTATTAAAACTAGGTAGCTATATTCAGAAAGCAACAGCAACAGCAAAATTGGAAATATCTAGTAATGTAAAATTATGCTGATTTCCACATTCTCCCAGAAGTAATTGCCAATGAAGGGGAAAGAATTTAAAAACCAAAAATGGGCAACACAATATCTTTTATGTCACACATTTCATCTTTTGAATGTTGCCACTGTACAAGTAAGGACAAGTAGTACCCTCCTAGTAATCTGTATGGCAGTCATGTAACAACTACAACATTTTTTTGAGGGCCATAAATTGTAAACAGTGACAGAAGGCTCTAACATTAACAGATTGAAAGTTAGCATCTCAAAAGGTGATGAGAGAAAGTGTCCATGTGGAGGTAACTATAAATGGTTGTTAAATGTATGGGATGGGGTGAAACAGCATGTAATCTATGATATGTAACAGGGAATGCCCTTTGTTTTTAAACTTCTTTGCAGGCTCTGCCAGCACTGATAGTTGCTTGATGAACTCCAGAGAGATGGAGCAGGAGTTTCTTTTTATCCATGTTGTTGCATGAATTATATATGAGCGAAATGGGGATGGGGATGAAAGCAGGAACATTTCATGGGACATGACTCTGCAGCAATAAGATTAGTGACAGAGGAAAGAGATTGCCAGGGAGATAGCCAGTTATAACATAGTGGAGGCAGTCTCTGTCGAAAGTTAAATTAAAGCAGTGGGTGCAAATAGGGTTGACTAGGGGAATGCATCATTTACGCCAAGTAAAACAGACAAAGAGCATTTAAAGAGCAGAGTTACGGTTTTTTATAGCCTTCAGTCAACTATGTGAATTTGTCCTATTCTCAAACAGCAATTATTGATCCTTATGTGGGAGACAATACTTTTAAGAGAGCAGAAAGTTGGATATATGAAAAGAAGAACCTGCCCTTGCTCCCTATTATAAAGTTTTCTCTGCAGAGATCCTACAGTGCATCACAGGAATGGATCTGTCAGCTGTAATGAAAGCCACAATACTGTTGGGTCATCCTTATATCAGAACCTCTCAAGCCTTCGGCAAACTCAACATTGCATTTAATTCATGCCTTTTTAACCATCATCCTTTCTTCTGGGAAGGGTTTCTGGACCTCATAAGGAGAAAAATATTCCTTTCTGCATAAACCTTGCAGTCTGTCTCAGGTCTGGGTGGAACCAAAGAAACGTTTGAACATTTAGAAAATGAACATGACAATGAGATCCTACAGTTTCCACCATTTTTACAGCATCCATTCTCTCTAGTGCTATAACACATATTTCACCTTTTCCCGCACCTTGAGAAATAAAGTCTCTCACACAACAAAAAGCATGACACTTAAATAATATTGCACAATTGAAGAGGTAGATAGGCAGGTGAGTGAATAAGCTGAGAAAAAGCAAAGAGCAAAGTAAACAGAAACAAGATAATAGAAACATAAACAAATGACAAATTAAGAGAGAGCAAAGAGCAAAAGAAAGCAAGAGTAGGTATCTGAAAGGAAAAGATATTACAAAGATGGTTGATTTAATCTAGTGGCATTCCTTATGGGACAGGATACTAATATCAGACACAAGTAGAGAAAATAACCCAAGTTCTGTTGAAAGTGAAAAAGAGAAGCTGAGTGAAATGTTATTTCTGGATGTTGAATTCTGTATATGGATACAGCAATAGCACTTAGACCTATATATCGCTTCACGGTGCTTTATAACCCTCTCTAAGTGGTTTACAGAGTCAGCATATTTCCCTGAATAATCTGGGTCCTTATTTTACCCACTTCGGAAGGATGGAAGGTTGAGTCCACCTTGAGCCGGGTGAGATTCAATCTGGCAGCCATGATCAACAGAAGGAGCCTGCAGTACTGCACTCTAAACACTGTGCCACTGCAGCTCTTACTTGCTTGTAATAGCCTGTCTCTTTACAGCCAAAACTAATTTCCTTACACTAAATGCATCAGAGCTAAAAAACCCACTTCCTGATCCTGACATCCATTTGTGAAAGGCAATAATTTAGTGGCCTGGAAATGTAATGCTCTTGCCAGAGTCATGATCATTAAGGAATTAGAAAAGTTAGCAGTTTTTCCCTTTCAGGTATGTTCTAAAAGGCAGCAAGACAAGAATTAAAGGAACAGCATTGTAATGCCACCTTACAGCCTGTAAGAACAATTAGTCAAAATGAGAGGAATGCATGCATACTCTGAAGCTGAACTGGGCAAGCTAAAGTATCTGGTTTTGGCTCTTGCTGATGGAAAGGGAGCCATTCTTGGGAATGGTTATCAAATGAATTTTTATCTTGGCCCTTTTTCTAAATAAATGAATTGACCATTGTAAGGGATGTTTCCTCCAAACAAATAACTTCCTGTTTGATTCTCTCCACAGCTAGCTAAAGAAAGTGAACGTCTCCAGGCAATGATGGCCCATCTGCATATGAGACCTTCAGAGCCAAAACCCTTCAGTCAGCCTGTAAGTCTGGTCATTTCTGACACATATGCCCCAACTTCTCTTTATAATAGGGTTTATTCTAAAAGATGATATCATCATCTATGAGGACTGATTCAGGGCTGAAAGCCAATGCTGACTGTGACATTATTATTAAGCTCAAAGTGGAGGTACTGTTTCCAAAGAGCATGAAGATATTATGGGAGACAAACGATTTTTGTTCCTACTGAAGATGCTAAATAAGATGTTACTGTTTTCTCAAGCAACTTGTTTGAATGCTTGGAGATTATTCTCCTCAGATGAAATCATAGAGGTCAGATGAGATTATAATAACTGACAGACCAATTAGCAACAGTAGTCGTGTTTTATCATAGTGATGCTCTTGTTCTAATGGTTGCCTCCAAATCCTCTTAAGGATTCAGGCTTCATGGTTTCCTACAAGGTTGATCCAAAGGTTAGGTAAGCTCTTCCATGCAATAATTTGTCTCCATGTGACTCCATAAAGCATTGTAATGCTGCCGGCAGGCTGTATAAATAAAAATAATAGGTGCTTTGCTAGGTGTACTTTAGGAGTGTTAATCTGTTCTTTCTATATACAGACAGAGTGAAATTATTTTGATACAGCATCGCTTACAAGTTGTGCCTAGTTAGCCAAAATCACGGATATAAGCCATTAATAGAAAAGAAAATGTCATTCTTGAACTTAGAAAACCAAACAATAGAAAGAATGCAATGCTGCTTAAGTGAGGGACTACCAGCAACAGCGAAAAAGAGCTGTTATCTGAAAATGTGGAGACAGCAGACACAATCCTGATGTCATGAGTGATACTAACAAGACCTAGGAACTTACATGCAGGGTGTGTCACTGCTCCTTCCTGATCTGTTGCCCATTTATGTGTTTATCAGCCATTCCATATGGCTCCTAAGGAAAAGCCAGCTTGTGACACTGATGCCCTAGACCACATCAGTCAGAAACTCTGCTAGAATAATTTGCATTGTTAACCCAAATATTTAATATTTTCCTTTTGCCATCTTGTTCTGCATTTTGCCCATATGGCACTTGGACCTTGTTACCACAGTCCATGAGAAGGAAGGTAACTGCAATCATAACTTGAGGAAGGAGTAAAGAAATATATTGCTACCACTGCCTCAGAATAATTTATTGGAAGATGTTTGTGTCCTATCTCTCTTGCCCAAAGCCTCAAACAATATGGTTTATATCATGTAAAAAGTGCAAAACATTTTTTGTAAAAAATAGTATAAATCCATCAGTTGAGCTTGATCAGAAGGTAACAATATCTGCCATACACAAAGAAAACCTAGAGTATAATTGTCTGTAGCATATAGTGAAGACCAACAAAGAAAGATGCAGCTGCCCAGGACAAAACATTTTTAAGTCTGGGTGCAGCCATTGCGAAGACTTGTTTTTCCCTTTCAAAGATGTTTTTTTGATAAACAGGAAGTAGAGCCCCCTCCCCCTTCTGTTTTTAGCAAGCAAAATGCAGGAAGGAGAAACATGCTAAGTTATTCTGTATCTCAGACACCAGCATTTTGAATTGGAAGCTGGAAGCTGTTTGATAACCAGTGCAGCTCTTACAGGATTGGAGTAATGTGATTATGTATTTATTTATTGGTTTTAGGAAATTATCTACTATTTTTGATTTCAAAAGCACCAGATTAATTCATGTTAAAAACTATGTATAGAAACTGCATAACAATCAAAATCATAAAATTACTTTGTTATTAGTGTAAAGAAAAGTTTTACAATCCTATTGGTAGCTGTTATATGCTACAAAGGTCATTTGAACCTGGGTGAACTTATGTAGCCTTTTCAGAGATACTCCATATAAATTGCATTCTACATATCCAGTATGAATATGATTGAAGCATGTGTAACTATATCAAAGCCTGATCTCCAGAAAAATTATCAGACTAGTTTCAAGTAGCTGAAACCCTTCACACTATATGTACTAATGATCATTTATGTGTAGCCATAGCTACACATGAATGTCACAGATTTATCCATAGGATGCCTGGAGTCTATAGAAGTGGGCAGGGATGGGTTTCGGCCAGCACTACTGCCGGTTTGCTCATGTGTGTGCTTTGAGTGCACGCTTGATGCACACTGCTCGTGCATGTGCAGCGCAATTAAAATTGTTCTGTGTATGCTCAGAACCGAAAAACAAGATGGCGCCACCAACAGTGCCAACCGGGAAATCGGTTCAGGGGTGTGACAGGCCTGGTTCTCTACCAGTTCAAACTGGTCTGAACTGGTAGGAACCCACCACTGGAGGTGGGTAGCATAAATCTTCCTTCAAGATTGTTAGCACAAAAGCCTCTCTTTCAAAAAAGCATCATTATTTCAAATTTAATTCCTATTACCACCTTATTTGCTCAAATAAGTTAGAAGGCCAATGATCCAACCAACAGCGGCTGATATCGTGCTCGAAAGATCCCAACCCACATCCTTAGATTCAGTTCTATATCACCCGCTAATGTGTCCTCCAGCTAATTCTCACAAGTGAAGTCATGTCAGATATTCCCATCTATCGGAAACAAGAGTTGTGTCTGCCTTTTCTGTTTTCTTTAAAAAAAAAAAATTCTAAGTTGCGATGTTTCGAATATTAAAATAAGATTCAGATCCCTATTGAGTTGGTTGGTTGGTCCAGTACTGCACTGTGTGATTCAGTATTGATATGAAGCTATCAGATCAGGTTACAATGTTAGGAAATTTGGATATATTGTCCTCAATATACAATCACACCATTTTTCTTCTCTGTGGAGAATAATTTAAACTTTTGCAAGCCTGATTCTTTAACTTTAGCACCAGTTGTGATATAGATTTAATAATGCTGAACTTTGAGGTGATAGAGTTGGGTAATCACCACTGAAAATTATTCTTCTTAAAATCTGTCTATACAAAAAAAAACAACTAAGGATTTGTTTTTGTTTTAATTGGAAGTATATTTTTAGGTGGTAATATTTTTTTTCCTATTCCAAACAACATGGTTCGTTATAACTACAGCTGGTAAAGATTTTCAAGAATCAACTTGCCATGACTTGGTCCAATATACTTTTAAATACAGTGGTTCTGATATCTTGAAATCTGTCTCAACTAGTTGTCAGTGAGTGAGGCCTCATTGGAATATATTTACTTTCACTGTTATAGTTATCTTTATTGATAAAGCTCACCACCTGCTTCATCTTAACAAATATTATTTACCCACTCACTTCTGGACTACTTCTAATCATGGTCTTCTTTTAATCCTCCTTGAGCAGCTGAATCTGGTTTCCAGCGCTACAATGTCCAAAAGCACTTCTGATACCTTTCCTGATGGATTACCTCATCCCCCCACCTCTGCAACTGCACCCATTACTCCATTGCGACAGGGTCCTTCTGTTATCAGCTCCTCCACTTTACATAATGTAGGGCCTATTCGCAGGAGAAACTCTGAGAAGTTCTGCACACCAATTTCCTCAGGTAAGATAGTTGAGAAGAAGTTCCAGTTACATCAAATATTGTGCTGAGATTGATCATTTGGAATGTCTTTTGCTGTTCTTTATAACATACTTTCTTCTGCCTAGAACTTGCACAGAATCATGAATTTTACAAAAATGCAGATGTCCGCCCTCCCTTCACATATGCCTCACTTATCAGACAGGTAAAAAAAACCTCTTTATTTTGTAAGAATGCACATAAATGCAATATCATCTGAAAAAGGCAGCAATCCTTACAAAGTGCTGACACTTATACTCAATTGTTAATTGTGGCAAGTGTTTCTAATGTGCCAGTAACGTACTGTAAGATTTTTGCCTTCTGTCCTAACTCTGGGGAATGCAGTTTGGTTAAGCTGCAATTTTAACTGCTGATTTACATCTTGAGAGCAAAATTATCTGTGGTCTTAAGCCTTTGTTTGTGCCTTTCACTAAGCATTCTAGAATTGCTGGTAAATGAATCAGATACATATTCTTTTTTTTCTTTTGTCTATTTTGTGTGAAGAGAGACCTAGAGACGAAGACATAAGGGTTGTATTTCTAGTTTTTATTGCTCTTTAATTATTTATAATTATAGTTGTATCCTGCTCTATTCAGACAGCTCTTGGCAGTTCTGACCTTAGTGCTTCTTAATGCACTACTTTATATAGTCAGGTTAATAGCTCCCTGAATAAGGGTATGGAAGGAACCTTTGCAAAAATGGCCGCGCATAGTCTTTAGGAGGCTTCCAGAGCTCCTGGGGGCTGGGGAGGGCATAAATGAGCAAAAAATTGGCTGGTTTTTTGCTCGTTTTTGCCCCCCTAACTCCCAGAAGCACTCTATAAGCCTCCTAAAGGCTATGCATGTCCTTTTTTCTTTCTTTCTTTTTTACAAAAATGGGCACTCTATAGATTTATGTAAGACTACAGAGTTCCTATATATTCATGTTAGTGGTTCCTAACTACTGAAGTCTCCTTCCAGTCTTAATTTTCTGGCAGAGCAGATATGGTTTCTTTGGGTCATAATGTCCTGTATGAACTGCAACCTTCTATAGCAGATCAAAAAAGTTCAATTCTCATTTAGTTCTCTATTCTATCTTCCATTCTATTCCTTTACTTGACTAATCATTTTCTGTTAGTTTTTTAATTTTAATTTTACTTTTACTTAAAAAAATGTAATAAAGCTATATACAAAGCTATTTTCCCCCTTGGTGCAGGTAGTGACATATGTAAAAATATTAGGTTAGATCAAATGACACTTTCAAAATTCCCAACCCTGCTGAGTTAACAATTGATAGAAATTTACTGTCTCCATCATAATCCCAGTCCTGCAAATTTTGATTATGTTCCATTTTAACTAAAACATCATCTAAAACTGATTGCATCAAATGCCGGAAGTATTGTCTGATCTGAGTTAGTAATCGTGAAAGCCAACCTGTTATCTTTTCTCTCTTGACTTTGCTAAATCGTGAGACACATAATAAAAATGAAATGAAAAAAGAAGGGACCATTTTAGGGTGCTCTTCTTTTGCTATATAATTAGAAGCAAGGGCATAAGAATCATGACCAGTTTTTGAAGAATGTTTGAGTACATATCCACAACCTGTATTTGTCTTTATAGTACAATTCTCAGCTTGTAGACATGATTACTGTACCTGCCTTGCTTAGTCTGCTCCATTTTTGTACTTTGGGAATAATAATTAGCAGTAATTTTGTACTTACTATTTAGCAGATCTTGTTCTGAGCAGTTAAGCCTACAGTACTGTATGTAGAACAGAATGTTGTTGTATTTGCATAAGGGAATCTTCTGCTAAATGCAACTATCTAAAACCTGTATTCCCCCAGCACCGCTGCTCCTGATCTACATAGATTAGATCTACTTCCTTATGTGACATATTGTTGTATCCATAATACGTACCTTTACTGGCTTCTACTGCTTTGTCTTGGAATAAGTAATGATAATGTTGCAGTATGTCATTCCTAGATACTTCTACATTTTTGAATATCAACTGATTAGTTCACAAATGTGTATGTATACTCTCAACGCTTTGTCATATAGCTTTTGTTGAGTCATAAGTTCAATTCACTAAAAACCTGTGGTTTTTGGGTAACATCATTTTATGGGAAAACTCAATAATATTGGATCTATATGGCTACTTTGCTCACACTAATTTCCACTTCATTTTCTAATCATTAAGTGTAGAAAAAAAATCAATATATATTAACTCGTCCTAGGTTCAGCATTTTTAATAACTGGTTGAAAGTTTTGTAAACATACCATAATAATGTCAGTACCTTTTGACATTTTTAATAGTGGTTGACCCAGGAATAGTGATGAGAAATGCTGAGTATTATGAGAGTGACTTTTTCTCATGTCTAAATGTAGGCTATCCTTGAGACACCTGACAGGCAGCTAACATTGAATGAAATCTACAATTGGTTCACACGGATGTTTGCCTACTTCAGGAGAAATACAGCTACATGGAAGGTAACATTTAACCTAGGATTTAAATATAGCCTTGCAACATATTTAATATTATTTACAACAATATCAGTTTTTTTAAAAAAATGGAACTCTATTAAACAATGATGAATAAATATGGAGAAATGGATGGACTCAGAAAAAAAATAAGAAATACTAATGGTATACATGTGTGAAGTATGTAGTGTGTGATGAAAAAATATGTTTATGGAAAGAAATGAAATAATAGGTAAGTGTTTTTCTACCTACTTGTATTGATTGTATTTTATGATATTAAGAGATAAACATGTTACTTGATACTCAAGAGTCGAAGACAATGAGAATAGATTTATTTAAGAAGTGTATGTAGTTAAAACCAGAAGAGATGGAAATTAATAAGAAATGGATGAATAGAAGTAGAAAAATTAAGTGACCAGTATGTAAAAGAGATTTTGAGGTGATTTGATCATATGGAATGAATGAATGAGAAGTACATTGCAATACAAATATATGAAGGAAAAGTGGAAAGATTTAGAAGTTTAGATATTGCTGGGTAATGTTGATCAATTCCTCAACTTTAACTTGTAAACAGAGATGAAATGAAAAGACAATACAGGTAGTCTTCAACTTACAACAGTTCATTTAGTGACCAAAGTTCCAACAGCAGTGAAAAGGGCACTTATGACCATTTTTCACACTTACGACCATTGTAGCATCCCAATGTTCAGGTGATCAAAATTCAAATACTTGGCAACTGACTCATATTTGCAGTGTCCTGGGGTCACCTGATCTCCTTTTGCGACCTTCTGACCAAAGTCAATGGGGAAATCTGATTCACTTAACAACTTTGCTACTAACTTAACAACTGCAGTGATTCACTTAATAAGTGTGGCAAGAAAGGTTGTAAAGTGGGACAAAACTCACTTAACAAATGTCCCACTTAGCAACAGAAATTTTGGACTCAGTTGTGGTCGTAAGTTGAGAACTCTGTACGTGAAGCACTATATGGCCATGGTGAAGATAAGGTTTGCAAAGAGAGTATGAAGAAGTACAGCGTCCAGAGTCAGTTTGGATAATGAGATTGGTGGCATATACATTTAATAAATAAATAGTCATGATATTAGTGTATATTACATTTAATTGAATATTTCCCACTTTAATTTCTTTGGCTTATATTTCTGACTCCTTTTCTGTGCTCTGTCTAATGTTGCTAACCACAAAATGGAATTGTGTGTTGGTTGTATGTGTGTGTCTGTGCATGCATGTGCATGTGTACATGTTCTAAATGTAGAAGACATACAGGACTGAATTTGAAATTATTGTTAGAAAAAAATGTGTTTATGGCTTAACTGGGTTATATTTTATTTGTATTCTGAAGGTGGGCATGGTATTAAGTATTTTACAAAACTTATACACAATTGCATGTCGATATATTCACTCTATGATTTAGTAGCATCATGGTTGAGTTTCCTTATCTCGTTCCATGTTCCACAAAACCTGCATTGAAAATCTTAATATGTGAAGGTAAAGAGTAAGATTGTAAAGAATATATTGTGCTATATAATGTACTTGGGTATTTGAGATGACTTAACATGATTCAGTGAAATGAGTAAAATGATATTTGAGTGACTTGTGAATCCTTTTCTTTTCTTTTTCTTTTTCTTTTTGCTTCTACTATAATATGTGTGGAAGACAAAACTATTATCTCTCCTTCAGTAAAATATATGGCGTATTCCATATCTTCCACAAGTAAGGTGATCTGTTCTTTAGCCATTACCCAAAGTGGAGAAAATAGATATCTGAGTCATTTTGTATCCATTATTATGTTGCTTCCAGTTAGGATGAAGGGGTTGTGAGACTGTCGGGACTGATGAATTCCACCTTCTTGAGCACAAGATATTCCTCTGCCTCTATGGCTTTCTTTCTGAGCTGTGGGCTATAGTTTCTCTTGATGAGAATGTATAGTTCCTCAGCACAATAAACAGATAATTTAACATAAAATGTGTCAAAATGCATGGATGATTAAACAAGATTAGAGCATTAGGTTCCATCCCTCAGAACAATGTGTTTTACCTTCTGAGGTGGGGATAACGATGTGTGGGTTGGTGACAACAGCATGTGACCAGTCTGTTCCATTATAAGCCTGCAGAAATAGGTCTGCAGCTGCATGCGTGTGGCTTCAGTACAAGAAAAGCAGAAGGGAAGTTCAAGATACTAGAAATAGAAAATAAGGTTAATGATAACCTGGGGGGGTTGGTATCTCACTGCATGTGGCAAATAGATGTTTCAGTCAACCATTCAGGTTAGTTTCCCAGATAACAAGGAGTACTTGCCATAATACAGATGGCATCCTAATAGGATAGTTGTGTGTGTGTGTGTGTGTGTGTGTGTGTGTTCACAAGAGAGAAATATGCAATACTCAAACTTAGCTTTCAGTCCTGGGAGAGAAGTTAAACTTTACAATGCAAGTTTGTCTTATAATAGTTTTCAGTATCCAGGCTTTTGTCCTGAACATATTCTTGAGGTTCTAATTAAGATCTGATCACTTGGTATATCTTGTCCTCCAATTGTAAAATAAAAAAGAGGAAGTTACTGTTACAGTGCTTACCCTATTTTTCAGACTATAAGACACACTGGAGTATAAGATGCACCATGATTTTGAAGAGGTAATTTTTTAAAAAAAAAAAGTTTTTGCAACTCTGCAGGCCTCCCAAACTCTCTGCATGCCTCATTTTTTGCAAAAAAAAAGGGGGGGGAGGTATAAAGAGCTTTGGGAGGCTCTTAGAGTGCTCCTGGGAGCTGGAGGGGGCAAAAACAAGCAAAAGCAGCCCCCTTTTGCTTGTTTTTGCCTGCCCCAGCCCCCAGAAGCACACTGCAGGCCTCCCAAACCCTCTTCATGTCCACTTTTGCAATGGGTCGGGGTTTTGGGAGGCCCAAAATGCTGCATTCAGTGTATAAGATGCACCCAGATTGTCACCTTTTTTGGGGGGGAAGGTGCGTCTTATATCTGAAAAATACGGTATATACTTATATCACCATAAATCTTTGATGACAGCAGAGGGTTTGAGTCTGGCTATAATCATGTTTAGGCATGTTCGATTTCACCTTTGTAGTACCTCTTGGGAATTAAAGAACTATCAGAACAAAGACAGAATCTGCAAATTTTGTGTGGAGAGTAATGGAAGATGTCCCTAGCTCAATCATAGAGAACAAGAATTCACATAGAAGAGCGGTGGTCCATCATTGTAGATTATAGGGAATAGTACACTAAGGACCAAGTTTTGTGTGTGTGTGTGTGTGTGTATGTATGTGTGCTTCCCCTAAATCAAGCCAATTGTATCTAGAAAAGTGACAGTTTAAAAATATTAGGCACCAAGGTTTGTTTATATTATAAAATTCAAAATGCCCTCTTTGCGGGTTTGTTTTTTCTGATTAATATTTTAGTAAAACCGTACTGTATATCCTTAAAATATGAAAATTGTGTGCGGGTCTGTTTCTCTGTGTGTATTTTTCTTCATGTGAAATAGTACTCAATTTCCATTTTTAATTTGTATTTTTGACCTGTTAATAACCTCTGTCTCTGAATCTATTTGCCCTTCCTTGCTTCAGTGATATCTGGAAATAGAAGAGACTAGTTCTCTTTGGGATGGGGGAGGGGGGAGGGAGAAAAAAAGAAAAGCAGAGGGTTGTCTCCAGAGCAGAGGAGGGGTGTCATGTTCCTGCAGCTGGGCATCTTTGCCTTTCAGACAAAGCCCCGATAAGATTCCATCCTCCAGACATGACATAATTCTGCCAGTGTCACACTCAGCCCCCGATACAATCACTCCCTTAGACGGGAAGCCAGAGTTATTGTGTAGCCGTCAGACTTTGATAACGGGCAAGCAGAACTTGCTGCTTGTTAAGCAAACACAAGTCTGAGAGCAGCAAATTACTCTGAGAATGAAAAGGAGGTCATGGCATTAAGCTCTTGTGGGAAGTGAGTTGATTTGGATCAATCCAACAGGGACCATGGAAATCTGAACTTGCCACAGTGAAGTTTGTTGGAGAAGGCAGTTGCCCTCTAGTCCAACTCATGCTTTGAGAGGATCCATGAAATAACCCGTTACGAGATTTCAGAGGGCAAGCAGAGTATAACCTCTTCTTAAGATACTTCTTGTTTCCAGGGGAAAGCAATTTTGTTTGTACTAGTTAAAAATTACTGGTCAAACTTGCTGCTTGAAGCATTCTTTTTGTTTATGATGTGGAATGTTTGTGAACAGTTTTTCTTTTCAGAAGATGAATTGTAAGGTTTCAGAAAAGAAAGGAAGAAGTCATTTCCTATCTTCTTTCCTTCTCGTGAATGTATGTATGATTCTAAGATTTATGCATGATTTTTTTAAAGATTAAATATGAAACTGCCAAATATAGGACTAACAGAAAATCTTTACATAAACTTCTAAACATAATATCAGCATTCCCATATTGTTGGTTTTTGTCTCTATCTTTGGTGTGCGTTTTGAGTCATTTTATTCCAGGAGCACACATAACATTCAAATTGCTGATTACTCACTGTGTGGAACATGTTTTAGACAAGTTACATAGTCATTGTAGTAGATTTTCTATATAGATAGTCCTCACAACCACAATTGAACCCCAAATTTGTTGTTAAAAGAGACTGTTGTTAAGTGAATTTTGCTCCAATTTATAACCTTTATTGCCACAGTTGTTAATTGAATCAATGCAGTTGTTAAATTAGTAACAGTTGCTAAGTGAATCTGGCTCCCCTGTTTATTTGCTTGTCAGAAGGTTGCAAAAGGTGACCCAGCACTCTGTAACTGTCATAAATACATGCTAGTTGCCAAACATCTGGATTTTGATCACATGACATGTGAATGTTTTATGACACTTTTTTACTGTCATAACTTTGGTCACTAAAGTTTTAAGTTAAGGACTACCTGTAAATTGGGTCTATAGCAACTTGTCATAACCAACTCACTGCAGGGCAACTCATTACAGGGTAAGAGTTACACTAATATCAAAGAAATTGT